GGTGGTGAAAAGGTTAATTTCATTGCTTGACTGGCAAATCAGTGATTGCACAAAATATCCTAATTACAATAAAACTATGATGTAATCAATGTATTTACAGTATACCGGTACATACCAATAGCTTGTCTATAAGCCTGTATAGCGGCAGATGTGTTCTTCATTTCCATGTATTCATGTCCCATCAATGTCCACGCTGCCAGGTAATGTGGGTTTAGTTTCAGAGATCTCTGGAAGTAAAGCGCTGCCTTTTCATGCTGTGATCTCAGACTGTAGAAATTACCTGAATCAGAGAGAAGCATGTGGTCAGTTACAGTCAGTGCGACACATACAAGATGTACATCATTGTGCCCTATCACCCAATATGACATGTTACTGACGCACCAAAATTTACTGTTTGATATGCTAATTCACTGTTTGTCATTATAAAAACAAAAGGAAATCAAACATTAATATAGTGATCTCCATTTTTTCACTAGACTTTCTTGCCCAAATTTTTCTGCACCTTTTTCTTATATATTTCAGGAAATAAACCCTAATTTTGGAGCTAACATACAAAAGTTAAGTCAATTTTCAGTTTTTTACTAAAAAAATTTAGCTATATTTGTCTAAATCTTCTGAAGAACATGCAGACTATAAACACGGCTATTTTGTGCATTTGTTATGAAAAAATGGAACTGTTACAGAATGATGTCTACTAATCATAGGTCCAATCTGACAACTACTATCAGTCATTTATGTTGTATTTAAAATTCATAACATTTCAATATTGATGTGCAAATAGATTGTTACAGACACTCACAGAAAAGTACAAGCCTACTTACCGATAACACAACATGTTTCCACTCTATACTTGTCAATTTCACAACATTTATGGGCAAGATAACCGAGTTCAGGCTTCATTTCCTGTCAAATCATAATGATATTATCATCACTACCGTGTTTGCTCAGAAACCAAAAATTGTATATTTATTCAATCTCCTTGCACATGCATTACTATTACATGTATTAGAAATATTTGTATGCAGGACAAGAATTTCCTGCATTGATGTTTTTTGATATTCTCTATTTTATTTCTATATACCAAGACCATTTTATAAATTTGGTTTTGATGCCCTCTCAACTTTGAAGTTTGAGCCCTACTTATATACAGAATCAGAGATTTATTACTTGGGGTTTGCAACGCGCATAGTACTGTATGGTGACATCATGTCAAGATCCCATTCAAGTCTCATCTCGTAGATAGCGAGACTGATGCTACGACCTTCTGACATGACATAGGCGGTTTGTAATAAAACAATAAAACATGCATTACCACATTCATAGTGAAAAAATGTAATACATCAAAAATGTACACAAAATATAGTTATCGTAATCTGTCATATCGTGAGCAGCTATTTTGATCCACCTGGTCATCCCAGTATCGTAGTTACCTTGGGCATGCGCATTCGCATTTTTCTGAGTTGGAACGCTTATGAGAGAGCAAGATTGAAACGGGATCTTGGTATCATGTCACCGTAGTTGCAAACCCCAAGTAATGTACCTCTGACAGAATATATAAATCCTCATAACTCCCCGGAGTTATCAAGATATTTGGTGTAGTAACACACTTTATTTTATTCTCATTTGCTTGTTAATGGAGGAGAAGGCAGAATAATTAAATAACAGTAGATAGCCTTGTAAGCAAATTTTAACACTTTCATTTGTGGACAATATCCAAAGAACAGGAATCAGCTGAAAATGACCATACAGATTGGATGTATGATTTTAAGGAACACATTGTACAACATTGTAACCTCATTATAACCTCATTGGGGGGACATACAATACAATATTTGTTATAGTGAAGTGTTCACTATAATGAAGCACATAATACATTGGGTTTGTTATAGTGAAGTGTTCACTATAATGAAGCACATAATACATTGGGTTTGTTATAGTGAAGTGTTCACTATAATGAAGCACATAATACATTGGGTTTGTTATAGTGAAGTGTTCACTATAATGAAGCACATAATACATTGGGTTTGTTATAGTGAAGTGTTTACTATAATGAAGCACATAATACATTGGGTGTGTTATAGTGAAGTGTTCACTATAATGAAGCACATAATACATTGGGTTTGTTATAGTGAAGTGTTTACTATAATGAAGCACATAATACATTGGGTGTGTTATAGTGAAGTGTTCACTATAATGAAGCATATAATACATTGGGTTTGTTATAGTGAAGTGTTCACTACAATGAAGCACACAATACATTGGGTTTGTTATAGTGAAGTGTTCACTACAATGAAGCACACAATACATTGG